ATCCAGGATTTCCTCTTTGGTATGTGTCGTGAGGGTATATGTTGAGTTTCCAAGTGAATTGTCAATACCTAATTCATTTATCAAGCAGTTTATGTAATGATATTTACACACAAAAACGATGTTGTTTGGGGCTTTATCTGCGGGGACAACAACATATTTGTCATGGAGGTAGGACAAGTGTTTTGCAACATTTGGGTCTTTAAAAATTGATGTAGCGTGGGTATTGATATGCCCATTTAGTTTCTTGATTCGGATTTGTATCAACGACCTCACAGCCTTAATCCATTCGGAAAGAGTATCTACGTCTTCTTTCTCGCGTTTAGCCCATTGCCTGGCATAATCCTCGACTGAATCCATCAGTATTTTGAAGTTGTATTTCCAATTGATGGATTTAGGCTCACGATATTTCGGACCTTTGGATAACAAATTTCACAGGGAAGTGTTATTGACAATGTTGAGGTCTCTGGTAATAACGTGGCCAGCCGGATTATATGTGAATTGGGAACTAGCACAGGTGCAATAAGGAGGTTTAGACTTGAAGTCGTCAATGTTGAGATCCTGTAAAACGTGTTTGTAATTGAAAATTTTAGTTGCAATTGGTTTGGTATAGGTATAAGAAATTATTGGTACAGACTGATCTTTAAAATAAGGAGGTACTTTCGACTGAACTAATTTATGATGAAGGATATTGCCTAAATTGACGCCATCGAGACCTTTGTTGGCAAAGGAAAGTTTAAGAAAAGATCTTTTCTCTTTTTCATCTTTTCCAATGCGAACTGGTTTAAAAAGTCTGTGACTTGCAATATCCGAAATGATAGCTGTAAGTTTGTATTGATTTGAATGAGGGTTTGTAACAGTGGTTTCCAAACATAAATTGAACAGAGAATGAAGTTTTGAAAGGGGGTAATGAATACAGTTTCGTGCGAATGTGATGAATACCTAACGGCTTTTGTATAAATGGAAGTCATTAATAGAGACATCATGCAAAGTAGGTGATGTATAATAACGATGACCATGACTGCGTCTACGTCGAGGAGTAGAGTTGAAAATATTCATCACATTCACCGAGCTACAGGAAGGACTAGATAGAATACCTATACCATCAATTTTGTCATTGCAACCATATGGTGTCGTAGTTCCCAATTGTCGAATCCAGTAGTCCTTTTTTTTGTCTACGGAGAGGCGTTGCAAGTTGAGGATTGTTAGTCTTGTGGTATATTTTTTCGATTATACGAACTGTCATAGAAACGATGGAATGATCAGGCTGATTAAAATGCTGGTACAGAATGTCGTTTTTTGCATTGAAGTTGATATCTGATCTATGGCCGCACATACGTTTGTTTAGCCGTAAGTTTGTTCAATCTGGTTAAATAGGATACACTTCTCTTGAGAACATTTAGCTGTTGTGATGACTTTCTACACAAATTACTTATATGTGCATCAAATTTAAGTTGGTAATCAAAATCAATTTCAAGTAACAGGACTATATATTTTGCTGTATTTGGAGTAACGCATTCCTTGAAAAGTGTTTTCCCTACAGCAATCATCTGAAATTTTATAAGAATTGCCTATACATCTTATTTTCTTTGAACCACTCAATTAGTACTTGAGACTCAGACTGTAAAGTAGGTATGATACCACATCTCCTTGTTTTTATATGAAACGGTCATAGTCAGGACTCCTGAAAGACAGGGTATTGTCGTCAGCATAATTGTACAAAGTACTCTGTTTAGCAAAAATAAAAAATATAGATCATGAAGACATTAAACAAAAGGGGCCCAATTTAGAAGCTTGTGGTACGCTCTTTTGGATGGCAGCCCATCTACTTAGAACACTGTTTACATTAATTTGCTGTTTTCTGTCAGAGAGATATGATTTTAATAAAGATACTGAATGTAGGGAAACTATGGTGGCCGGATGCGGCCACCTCGCGTTTTCGCGTTTTCTCCTTTCACTTTCACGCGAAATCGAGAAATCGAGAAATCGGGAAATCGAGAAATCGAGAAATCGAGAAATCAGGAAATCGAGGGAAATCGGGATTTCGAAAAATCGAGAAATCAAGAAAGCGAAAACGAGAAAACGCGAAGGCGAAAACGCGAAAACGGGAAATCGATTTCTCTATTTCGCGTTTTCGCTTTCTCAATTTTCGATTTCCCGATTTCCCGATTTCTCGATTTCTCTATTTCTCGATTTCCCGATTTCTCGATTTCGCTTTCTCGATTTCCCGATTTCCCGTTTTCTTGATTTCCCGATTCCTCGATTTCGCTTTCTCTATTTTTCGATTTCTCGATTTCCCGATTTCGCGTTTGCAAAGTGAAGGGAGAAAATGCGAAAACGCGAAAAGGCGAAATGGCCGCATCCGGCCACCATAGGAAACACTATATGCTTATAATTTATTCAATAAAATACCATATGGTAAACAGTCGGAAGTTTTTGATAAATCCATGAGAACTGCATCTGTATAATTTATTTGTCTAGGGCTTCAGGCCAATCTATCAGTAATCTGAGTAGCGTACATTCATGTGCTCTACGGAAAGAACATAAATAAGGATTAAAGATGTAATCAAACTAGTCATACAACTGTTGTTCAAATACATTTTCGAATAATTTTGAAAAATTAGGTAAAACATTAAATAGTCTGTAGTTTGATTTAAGTAACGGGTCGCTCTTTTTATGTAAGGCTCTTAACGTCGATCCGGAAAATGACTGTGTCTACAGTCAAATGTATTAGACGGGTTAGCTGAGGTGCAACTACATAATGATCTACTTGATTTTACATTTTTTTCTGGTATATATACCATCTACTCCTGTTGCTTTATTAATGCTTACTTTATTTATGATTTTTTCACTTTTTCTGATGTCACCTTTTCGAAATTAAATATTGTAACCTTTATCAAGTGATTTTTTCATGTATGACATTTATACTACGGTAGCAATGCATGATGGATCATATACCACATCACTAATCTTCCTAATTTCTTATCAAAAGAAGCAACAAAAATATTAAAAACATCTGATGCTTCTTTTTGATCAATAATTATTGTATTTTTTTCATATTAAATTAGTTATTTGCCCCCAGATTTGCATTTTTGTAACTGAAAGGTTTTACAGTATTCCAAAAATCGGCACTTTTTTAACCGTTAGAACAGCGATCTCTAATATATTTTCATAGATTTCCTTTTTAACTTACTTAACTAAATTTCTTTGCTGTCTGAATTTTCCCATGCATGAATAATTCTTTTTTGATGTACTGAGAAACTAGCGCGTGCTTTCTGTATATGGCTTTCCTTAACACTCCATTCATACATGGAAGAGGACTTTTTGTTTTTGATACTGGCTTGACTTCACAGGAGCATGCTTGTCTAGTTTACTTATAAAACCGTTTTTGTAGTTTTCGTAGATCTCATTTACATGTTCTGCAGTTGATACTCCATCTACAATTTCAATCTCAATCTGAGTTCACATTGCGTTGGCATTCAATAAGGAACCACATCAAACGTTCCATGTATAGGATAAAAAAAGTAAATCACATATATAAAACTAAGGAGATGTGGTATGATTGCAAATTAGACAACTATACACCAACGTTCAAATGAAGTGGATGTAAACAATTAAAGGCAACCGTACGGCCTTCAAAAATGAGAAAAACCCATACCGTGTGGTCGGCTATAAAAGGCCCCGACATGAAAAATATGAAACAACTCAATTGAGAAAACTAACGGCCTAAGAGTACTCTCAGTTACTGACAGCTAGTTCAAAGCCAATAACAACTAATGAAAAAAATAATTTATCTAAGACTAAAATATCAATCAGTACACATCCAACATCCAATAATATTTTTTTTCTTCCCCCCCCCCCCTTTTCCCCCCGGTTCTAACTTAGTAAGGAAAATTTTGATTGATCGGTATAGGCAGAGAATTTTTGTAATTCAATTTAGCATGCATTAGGTCATGCTTAATTTCTACTTTCTTTTTGGCTAATTATTATATGTTTAATTGATCCAACTTTTTGTGTACTATACATATATGGATATCTATTTTTCTTTTTTTCTTTTTGGGCTGCTTGTTTGTTTTCTATATCAACCACACTTGCAATAAAATGCATTAGTATTAAAAAAAAACATACTATAGATTCTTTATCTACGTATTCTTTAAGAACTTAAATAGTTCTCGTTTAACTTTTTTTTTTTATCTCATTGTTTGTATTGTATTATGAAAAATTATTGATGTTGTAATGTTTATGCCCCTGGGGCCCATTATTGGAAAATAAAATATCTTCTTATCTTATCGGTATACCTGACTTTTCTATGTGCCTGCCATGCGCAAATACATACAGTTTGAATGTTGCTTTTGTGATATTATTTATCTTTTAAAGGCTTATTTAAATAAATGCATTGATAGATATTTGTAGCTTAAAATTCAGAGTGACCTATTACTGTTGTAAATTTATGGTAGAGTGGGCTGTGCAATTTTGGCCACTATAGAGAATGGCCTTGGAAAAATCCATAATGACTGTAGTGTATGTAATTTTCAGTAAACCTAGAACCTACATGTATTACATTTTTCATCCGTCCGCACATATGTAATTCTATATGTGACTTTGAAAAAACATTTAATATTAGTTTTTTTTCATTAATCGATACAAATCTGTTTGATCTGTATTATGTTTCACTGAGATTCAAAATGGCCATGTATTTATGGTTCCAATAACATATAGATGTCATCCTACACTTCACGTTACCAAATCATTTGATATTTGATAGGATAGAACTTTCATACGTATTTCTGTAACATCCCAAAATCAATGTAACGTTAGAATAACACAAAACTTCCAACCACTTTGACCCCCCCCCCCCCCCCCAACATAAAAACAACCTTTCTATGTGAATAAAGGTTTATTATCAGTGGCGGAACACTGATGTTAAAGTCTGAAATTCTCGGAAAAAGTATCAAGCTTGGTCCGGATCCGAGCGCGGACAAAATACAAGAACGCTGCACATGCGCAGTGTACAGGTGTGCAGAAATTTGGAAGTCGCACCTTGTTTATTCGAGAGGTTGTACATGTATTCTTAATGAATCAGCTAGTCCTAATTTCAATTAATGCATTTAGAAACAACTTTTTATTCATATTGCACCAATTGATAATATAATTGCAAAAGTGAAGTTCGCCGGTACATGAAAGAACTTCTAACTTTTCTAACAGCGACCCAGCTTGGCCTTGGGTCAATATATTTTTTGCATATGATAATAATCTGTAATTTCGTTCGTCCTGGGAGCTCGTTACATTTTATGTTACCGGAATGAACTACTTTCCGACTTGAGAGCATGTTCTCGCAGACAAGTATGTCATGTATGTGGATCAAATGATATCCATATACTTAACCTGTTAGTGTTGGTGTTAACCAACAAACAATTATTTACACCTTTAATTTTCTCTGTTAACACATTTTGAACATTATTGTGCCAAAAAAACAAAAATATGATGAATGTTCCAAAGGAAAGTATTTATTTTCAGTGGATTCCTGAAACAATATTTTGTATTTGCCCAAAAATTCATGAAATATCAATAATCAGTTATTCTAAATATTAGGACACCAGCTAGTTTAAGGCAAAAATCTCCATAATTGAAATGTACAGGTTGATGTAGTAAGCCAAATAATTATGACATCTTGAAAGTTATTTTAATTTTTGATGAGACGACTTCCCATGACGTAAAGCAGAATCCCTTTTTAATATAACTCATTACTGTATAGGCCACTTCAAGGTTATTGCAGCCATATTGAATAGGGGGCTGAATTTTGGGATGGAGATGGAAATAGTAAGAAAGAAGGAAACCTATGTATGTTTCCAATCAACTATTCTGTTTCAGTGATGTTTTCTTGTGTTTTTCGAAGCATTTTCACTTCCAATTTTGAAAATCTATTAAATATGGCTGCAAGGGCCTATTCAAGCATTTCAATCTGTCAATCACAAAATAAGAATTGGTCCTAATTGATCTTGTCTACAGTTTCCTTACACAAACAACTCTGTTACAAATTCAAAACATAATTTCTAAACATTATGCATATATGTCCAGCTACAAAATGCACAAATAAAATCAGTCTGTCATAAATTTATTGAAAATTAATATGGCTTAAGAAGAATATTGCACATGGCCACATCATTTTACTTGCCTGGTCCATAGGGCTTGTGCTTAATTGTGAAGACTGGGAAAGTTCAAAATTTTTAAAGGTAAAAATGTGAATGCTTTGCAAACATATTCATACAGCAATTCTAGCTACCTAATAAACATGATAAATGATGGAGCTACTGGAAAATCAACTTTAAAGAAAGAAAAATACATAAACAGGAATGGTCAGGCTGTCCCATATTTCAAAAATTAAATGGGACTCTTTATCTGCAAAAACTTGCAATTTTTGTACATATTCAATGCTGGTAGACACATGCAATTTTTTCTGCAACAGTACATGTAAGTAACAACAGCTGCATACACAGTATTTATTTCATCCTTTTATAAAAGACAATTTTGTGACACACACAAAAAATGTACAATAAAAATGTTTTAACCCCCCTTTTTTTTGTATTACATGAACAGAACTTACAGAAGAAAGATGGCTGATCAAGTTCAAGAAGGTATATAAAGTTAATCCAACCACTTTAAAATACTGTTTCTCCATATTATCTAATATAGAAACCAAAGAGTTTATAGTATAGACATGGTAGATGTTTATAAAACAGCTGTGTTTAAATAACATAAATTATAGTTAGTGCTATTTTGTGCATTTATCCTTTGATCTTTTTTTGTGATAATTTTTGTATCATGCTACTAGCTTAAGATAGAAAATTATTGTCAGAAACTAAAGGTGCATGTGCTGTTGTCAAGTTATCATCAACGGCGTCATAGGAAAATAAGGGCTATTCCTGAAAAAAATGTATAGGGGCGTTGGAAGGCAGTTTGTTTTAGCACTCCCTACCCAGACAATTGTAATTGAGAATCATAGTGCATTATAGTGTGAAAAGTTACTCTGATACTCATCACCCATGTATTAAAAATATAAAGTGCCTTCCAACCCCCATACATTTTTGTCGAGCCTTCGACTTTAGTCGAAAAAGCGAGACATAGCGATCCTACATTCCGTCGTCGTCGGCGACGGCGTCCACAAATATTCACTCTGTGGTTAAAGTTTTTGAAATTTTAATAACTTTCTTAAACTATCCTGGATTTCTATCAAACTTGGATAGAAGCTTGTTTATGATCATAAGATAGTATCCAGAAGTAAATTTTGTAAAAATAAAATTCCAGTTTTTCTGTATTTTACTTATAAATGGACTTAGTTTTTCTGCCGGGAAATATTGCATTCACTCTGTGGTTAAAGTTTTAAAAATTTTAATAACTTTCTTAAACTATCCTGGGTTTGTACCAAACTTGGACAGAATCTTGTTTATGATCCTATATATGATAGTATCCAGAAGTAAATTTTGTAAAAAAATAAATCCATTTTTTCCTTATTTTACTTTTAAATGGACTTAGATTTTCTGCCAGGAAACAACACATTCACTCTGCGGTTAAAGTTTTTAAAATTTTAATAACTTTCTTATACTATTTTGGATTTGTACCAAACTTGGACAGAAGCTTGTTTATGATCAAATGCTAGTATCTAGAAGGAAATTTTGTTTTTTTCCAGTTAACATTACATTCAGTCTGCAGTTAAATTTTTAAACATTTATTAGATTCATAAACTATCCTGGATTTTTACCAAACTTGGACAGAAGCTTCTTACAATCAAAAGATAGTATCAAGAGGAATATTTTTATTGATTTACTTCCTCATTTTTGTTGAGCCTGCAATTAACAGAAAAGAAGGCTAGACACTGGGTTCCGTGGAACCCTTACAAATTTTTTTCTGGAATAGCCCTAACCATAAACAGATTAGCAATGGTCTTTCAAACTCAAAAGATGTTTCTCTGCCACATCTCATCTCATGAGATTATAGCCAAGAAACATCCTCTTGTTTGAAATCTATGAAAATTTGCATATAATGGACAGTGAATGAAATTTTTAAATACATACATTTTAAGTAACAATAGTTTTTAAAATGCTTTTAAGTTCAGTGTTGTCTCATACAAATTCAAATAGCCTCCTGACTAAAGAGGAATTTTAAACTGCATATTTTAGCTAAAATATAAAGAATGAGGACAAAGAAGTTTCATTGAAAATGTAAAGAAATTAATTTCTAATATGATGTTGATAAAAAATGATAGCCCTAAAGTACCAATGTATCTCCAGCTGTTTAGATGACCTAATGAGAGCACTGAATTATGTACAGAGATCCAAAATCATAACTTTATTAAATATAATGTTAATGGTCTTTCAGAGATTGTAATGACCCCAACAAAGAAGGGCAAGACTACACATATAAGGATTGAAAAGAAACGTAAAGAAGAAATTGACACGTCGATAGCAGAGCATGTTGGAGATGGTAAAGATAAAGGATTAGTAGTTAATAAAAAAGCTCAAGGTATGTCTTATGTATTGACAAATAAATAAGTATACTCCTCGCCTTGTGGTCATAAAAATTCAGAGCACAATTACCCTACTCATACTCAGAAATCAACCAATCATAATACTGGATTTGATGTTTCGAGCACAAGTTTTGTACTCCGAGTACTGAGTTAAGTTTAACGACCATTGGCCATGACCTTTTCTGGTGTATGGCATGTTTTGTGTGTGAGACACTAAAGTGACTCTCTGAGTGACAATTCCCTGGCAAGGGAGGCACAAGAGACAGTACTTTATAAAATTTATATTATGCCATCCTATATACATGATATAGTTGACCATACTATACTTCCTGAAAAGAAAATTTTGCAGAGTTATGGGACTTAGATAATTATTTTTCATTGTAGCAAACTTAATGAGATTGTTTGTCACCATGTGTACCATCTTGTTTTGTAGCGTGCTCACCTCAAGCGTGAGAGGTCCTTAGTTTTGATCCCCATCTGGGTCAAACCAAAGACTTGAAAATTGGTATTTGCTTCTTGACTGCTAAGCTTGTGCCATTTAGGAGTAAGAGCAAAGACTGGTCTGTCTGGAGTCAGATTAATGTGTCTGGGTATCTGTCTTCATGCACACTGTCATGACTGTTACATTGTGAACTAGCACATAAAAAAACTGGCTCAGTCTGTCAGTCTAGTAAAAAGCAAGGTTAAATTTGCATTCATATCACATTAAGATGTTCTCTTCCTAAAAATGTATTTACATTGTCACTGGACATAAAATAGTCATCCATCATCATTATGTGTAGCTGGTCATAGTTAACCACAATTTTTACAAAATGTGTAATGTGACTATTTTTGTGATGTACTGGGACCTTGAATGTACTGTGTATTGGAAGTCATTAAGTGTAGAAAACCATTATGATTGATGATTTTTCCAAGATTTATTGCAATTTTTGTAAGATTCAACTATTTTTGCATGCAAACCCTAAAATATTTTTAATGCAAAATTTTGTTTTATTATCATGGTGATTCATATTCTGGTAGTGTTTAGAATACACTACAGATATCAAGCACTGTTAAGAGAAGAAAATGTTGCATGTTGCTATTAAATGTTTGCTATTGTTCATCAGTCTACCCTAGAGTAGAGACTATTGTATTGCAATGTTACAAGGCAGTGAGAGACAGATAATATCTAAGATGTCATATCTTTTTCAGCTACAAATTATTTGAAACCTATTCTGTAAGTGAACATATTTACAAATGTATGTGCATATATTTTATGATTTAGATTTTGAAATATTTTCAGGAGATTTAGATTCCTATGGAAGACCACAGTTACAGATAGGATTTAACTGTTTCTTAGTTGATCAGAAAACAGGGAAAAAACATGTGGTTTGTATAAACATTGTTTTTTTTTTCTACTAGTATTAGACAATCTTTGCAAAAGTAGGCATTTTTATGTATTGACTGGTTTGGCATTTGTACTGTTTTCTGAATATCAGATATTGTTGCCAAGTGATGAGATGATTGTCACCTTAGATAAGTTGTTGGTCTTTATAAGGTCAGAAATGCTAAAATCACAAGGTATAATAAATCCTTCAGCATTAGACTGTCAGATATGAGGCAAAAAAAAACTGGAGGTAGATGAAATAATTGATTTTTGAACAGTATTTTACATCGTCCATATCAGGAATTGTTCTGGACACCAATGATGCTAAACCAAATCATATATTGACTCTAAAGGTTCTTAACCAAAAATTTCCATAAAATCATGAATATTTAGGGTAGGTAGGGAAGCAGGAAACAAAGCTCATTTTTTGGTCTGTATGGGTATGAGGTAAGATTTTTGCCTATTTTGATCATACCCATGAAAAACTGTTTAAAATATACATTCTAAACTGTATGAGGATAAGGGTTAAATTTTGTTTTGTTCCTGACAGCAAAGCTGCAACAACATACAGGAATAATTTCTATCATCTTCAGCACAGTAGCCAATGTCACATTTTCTTATTTTGAAACTCTTTATGAAAATTTAGACATAAGTCAATCAAACTTGCACTTGATTTTCTAAGTTGTACATCTGCTATTTTAATTTTGGATCTGAGTGACTTTTACCAAATCATGGACTGCAACATTTCTGCATTACCATTTGGAGATGAATTTCAACCCACATACTTTTTTGGGAGAATCACATTTTGTTGTCTTTTTCTTTACCAGGAGAGTAGAAGATTAAAGTTTTGGTATGTTGATGGAACTGATTATTTGGAACAAGTTACTACAGCATACAAATTCTTTAAAGAACTTGTGAGACCACAGAATTTTCCAAGGGGTTTGTATAGATAATTTTGGGATACGATTGCTGTCAAGCAATCTGTAGACTTTTATGATTGACTCCTTTCCAATGCTCTCACGTCAACCGTTTTGTGCTTTATATTAAGAACAACTCAGATTCTTAGGATTGTTTTATTTTAAAGAGTAAAACTAACAAACAGATTGAATTTAAACAACTTTCCATTAGTTTCCTTCTCATAATCCTCATGTTTTGATATCTCCCTTTTTTAAATTGTGTTTATTTTACATTACGGAAAATCAATATTAAGTAGTAGCTATATTGAGGGTTTTGTATATTTAGCATCACGTCAAAGTAGGAATTCCGCTGTTTTGTTAAAATGCGAGACTGGTTCCGAAATAAAACTATTTCCTTTAGATAAGTACTAAAGTGGTGTTGTTCCTATTATGTTACCTTTATGAAACTTTGATATTGAACTTCCATAAAAAATGGAGAACCACAAGTGACATGTTGTCCTCAATCAAAGCATAAATCTAACGGTTTCTGACAATAATAACACATCTCCTTATTTTTATAAAACAACTGTCTTAACATGGTAACTAAACTCATTATTTCCCTGACTACAACAAATATAGCACGATTTAAATTGCTTATAAAAAGTCCAGGCGATTCAAAGCTTGCTTGATAAGTTTTGAGAGAAATCAAACTTAATAATAATCAAAGAGCTTGATCTCTCTGAGGGATACGATCGCCATTGTTTCCATTGATATTAGCATTCTTTCTCAAAGATAATTCAACTGCACTTGTATTCTCTATTTGATTCAATCTGAATATAGTTTTTCACTTTAAAAATAGCCAAAATAACTAAAAGTTAACAGTGAAAAAGCAAACCAATTCCAATTACCAGTAATACACAGACAAATGCATTTTTTTTCTTAATTTTGCTCTGGACACTGCCTTGATTATTCCATTAAATTTTAACAGATTTTAACCCCTGACTTAGAAAAATGACATAGAAATTAACAACTTTGCTCTATACAATATACATGGGATAATGTGTTTAAGAACCTTATGTGAAATTTATGTTCCTTTTATATCCGTAAAGTAGCTTGTATTTAAAAAAAGATTCAATATTAACATTTGAAACTTTATGAGAAATAATATGACTGGTGTGGATTCATAAGTTTAAGAAAAAGAGGACAATTTTCAGGTCAGACTTTTATCCAGTTAGTTTTACAAAGAATAAAAGAAATAAGATGGAGGTGGTGTAGCATTACTATATTTGACTTTATCCCTGTCATTGTCTCTATGAATAGGATTTATCTGCCTTACAACTATGGTATATGAAAGAGCATCATTATTAACCATAAAATGCAAGGTGGTTAGGAACAGCGTATTTAAAAAAAAATGGAAAGACAATAAAAGCAAATAAGATAAATGAAATGAGTTATGAACTTATTTTTTTCAGATTATGTTGGTTTTATTAAGAAATGTATGAAGCAGATGAAAAAACCTGATTATAAGTTAGCTAAGAATGTTGATCTGGAGATCCGGCTGCTCGATGATGAGGAAGCACCAATGAGTCCAGGTTTGTTGATGCTGACATTTTTATTAAGTTTATTATTAATTAAGGAAAAAGGCCAATTAACTTTTAGAGTTTTAAGTATTATGTTTAGCATTGAATTACATTTGTTGTTTTATACATTTTGACAAAATGAGTTCTCTGTGCAATTCAAGCAGAATCATTGTCAGTATTAAAAACAAAAAATTGTATATTTTTCATACTAATTAATTTCTATTAGTGATGAAGCAGGATTAATAATATTTTGTTGTATACTTATTTACTTATGACGTGAAAGTGTACAGATGTAGAAAAGTTGAAAATTCCAGTATGAACATTAAAATGTGTATTGATTTTATCAGGGGAGGGAATTTCTCCCGATATGATAGGTATGTGTCAATGTTGTATCTGCAGTACTCAGTTGATATCCCCTTGTATATCTTAATGTATGTACTATACATGTTGTTTTCTTTCTTTTACATTTCTTAAGTGTTGGTTTACATATCTCTGTAGTAATATTTCATTACTTTTATTACATGTATTATTAAGCAAGCAATGTGGTTCATTAAATGCTGTTAGCTTTCATCCAGTGGCAAATATTTTATGCATATTCCATGTATTCAGGATTTGAAGAAGCTACAATTAATCCAAAATGTAGGTCCTGCAAAAGGATAGGCTGGGATGAAGGGCAGGAATTTGGACTGCCACTTGAAGACATTCATCATATGTCACGGTTGAATTATTTTTTATCATTTCTTTTATTAAAATGTACACTGTTCATCGAACTCTTGTTGGCAGAAAAAAATAAACAAGTGGAAAAATTCTTTCTTCAGATTAAATACATCAGAAGAAACTTTAACATGAAAATAATATCATTATAGTGCCTGGGTTTACAACGAAAGACAATTTATAATTTTTTTAATTTGCACATTTCTAGTCTCTTCACATACTTTTATGACTTAGCACTGCAGATACAGTTCAGCATGTTTGTGATAATTTTTATCCATTCATACATCCACATTCAGTTGCATGACATTAAAAACAAAAACTTTCATGGACATGTAATGGATTTTCAGATGTGAAATTTTGTTGTATTACATTTCGTTGTTGGAAATGTTTGATCATGAAAGAGTGTTTTATTCAGAATGTTTTCATTTAAAAAAAAAGTACCCTTATCATCCAATTATTGTGCATGTCTGTCAGGGATGGGGTAATCGTAATCCGTAATCGTAATCGATTGTAATTGATTACATTTTTTCCAGTAATCGACAGTAATCTGTAATCGAAGACATCTTCGATTACATGTAATCGTAATTTAATCGATTACAGCAAAAATTATGATGTAATCATCGATTACTTTTCGATTACATTTCGATTACTTTAGTAAAACAGTTTGATGAAATATAACATATATTAAATGAAAATATGTATGTTTTCATCACTTTATAGTACAGATAAAAGTAGAATGTATTAAAATGACTGAAGAGTTTATCAACTGCCTTATTTCTATCTTCTGTCTCAAGCTGCAATATGATCAACCAGATCCCCTACCAAATTTTACTTTATATCTAGCTTTTGAAACAAATGAATTTATGTGCTTGTCAATAATTCAAGACCTATATTAAAATAAGAAAATAGATTTGAAATAAGAAAATAGATTTAAAATAAGAAATGAGTCTGAAGTTAAGTTCTGTACTACATTAAAGTAGTAATTTTATTTGTATTTAAATTCCTTAAAGCATAATTTTCAATAAGAGTTGAAATTTTAGCTTAGAATAGATACACAGTTGATTCCTTATAATGTTATGATACAAAAATTAAGAAAGTACACAAAATCCTTACAACAATGAACCAATGGCTATGCATTGAAATTCTTTTTCAGGAATAGATACATGTATCCCATTTTGACACTATAAATATATATTGTTTATAAATTGAATAGAGAATAAAAAAATCTAAACAAACTTCTTGTCTTTACTAATCAGATGATCAAAGACTTCTAATCAATAAGATGCAGACTTTGTTTTCTTTTCAATTATTTCTAATTAAGAAGTAGATTTACATTATTTTGCCCCAGGTTATAAAGTGTACTCCATTGGCAGTTTTATAACCTGTAATTAGGGTGGTTATCCAAACAAAAGGAATAATTCATGCATGTCATTATAATTATAAATTTCGATCTTTAAAATTAGCTGAACTAATTAATTATTCTACCTTTTTTACATTTTTTTTCAGAGGAAAATTCCAACATTGTAATTAACTATGTTAAAATATACCTGTTTTTAATTAGTAAAAAACAAAAAGCTAACTTAAGTCAGTATGAAAGCAAAATTTATGAAAAAATCTACAATATAGATAAGTGTTTGATGCAATGCGATGTCATCTCTCATTCATGTTGAAAGCCAAAATTTCAAGAATTTTGAATATTTCTGATCCTCAGTAAGAGAAACCATCTAGAAAACAACTGTCAACTTAAAATTTGGATACAATGCTTTAAATGCTGTTTTTGGTAAAGTTCTAAATTTCCACTATACAAACGTTGAGCAACAATATTGTGTTTAACTTACTTTATTATTTTTTTGTAATTTTGTAGCATGTAATTGACAGTAATCGAAAAGTAATGTAATTACTTTTGATAAAGTAATCGATTGCAATCGATTACATACAAAAATCAGAGTAATCGATTATTAATCGATTACACAAAAATCCTTCATGTAATCGATTATTAATCGATTACATTTGTCAGTAATCGTGCCCATCCCTGATGTCTGTTCAATCCCTGAACAAATTATACTCCAGATTTCAGAAATCATATGAATGCATTCTTAGCCTGTAAGGACACTATAAATATGTTATTTAATTGACACAAATAGACATAGTTAGGTTGTCATAGCTAATGTGATGCCATATTTACTGATTGGTGTCCTTGATTATCTTCAAATTAGGAATCTGTACAACTATAGGTATATAGATAGCAGAATAGATAAAATACTTCATGCACAGTGCATAGCAAGCAGTTATTCTGCTATTGTTGCAGCAGAATAGATAAAGTACTTCATGCACAATGTTGAGCTAATAGTTATGCTGCTATTGTTGCAGCAGAATAGATAAAATACTTCATGCACAATGTTGAGCTAATAGTTATGCTGCTATTGTTGCAGCAGAATAGATAAAATACTTCATGCACAGTGGCTAACAGTTATGATGCTATTGTTGCATGTTTGAATTTGCTGTGAACGTTCGAAGGAAAGCCTGATCAAACTAGCTCAGGATTGAATTATCATATAGTATTCTTGATGGACATAATAATTATAAATCTTGCTCTAATATATTGCATATTGGATTAAATTTGCAAAGTAATTGGAATATATGATGAGTTTCCATAAGAGATTTCTAAAACATGAAATTGTAAATCTTTCATGGATAATAGAATGAATTAATTGTTCATGCAGTTTATGATTTTGTTTCAAACTAAGCTCTCTTTAAGTAGTGATATGTCTCTAATGCTCTGGTAACCAATGAGGTATAACATTTTGAAAGCTATTACTACTCATTCAAATCTAGTTTGGGTGCACAATACATGTATAAGAGAATCAGTAATGCTGATAACTAATTTATAATTCACTGTTAGGACCTTCTGATGCTGAACAATATTTTGGTAAGTATTTGGTTGCCATGGTGACAGAACGAGTGTTGTAGTTGTGGAGATTGCGACCTAATATGTTATTACTGTAACTTTAGTTTTTTATGGCAAGAAAAAGTGTGTGAACTTCAGTAACATTAAGTTTGTTTAACATTGTTTGTGAAAGCATGCATAATTTGTATTATAACACTACACATTGAGTTTCCGGCTTTTCCAATAAATTGCACTTAACACAACCATGGATAATTATTGTTTTGCTTTAAATCACTGTGTGAAATAAAGAAAGACGTGTATTTGAAGAATGTGATGCATGATTGTTTAGTGAAAATATTTGAAGTTCACAGTAAATGTTCTTTTTCTTGGCAATATTTTAATCAACAAAATTCATGTGAAAGTCAGCTTAACAACTACCATCATAAATTTTTTAGAATATGCTTGAAATATTTGCCACTGGACTGTAAGCAGTCAATGATCAATCTATGTTCTAAATTTTAAGAGACGGCAGTTATCACTATTTTTGAGAAAAATTTGTGTGAAGAACTAGACTGTTACATATTTTTGATATGATTGCCTTTATAGTCAGGTAGCTTAAGTTGGCTTTCACATGATATGTGTGTAATAAACATGTAATTTTGATGATATATGTTGAACTGAATATGTTTAAAGGTATAATAGTTCTTAGGCTACCCTGAAAAATGTTTTTTTTTGTAAAATATATACATATGCACACAGGTATCCTGCTTTTTCTACATTCATTGGATGTTTAAATCTTCATATCTGTAATACTTTTTCCAAAACAAAAATTAAGAACCTTCAGTGTATTTGAAATATTTCCCTTAAATAATTTAAAGTACTTAGTGGATCTGTTTATATTTTATCTTAAATATATTTTCAACTTTGATTTAAAATAAGTTCCACTGTTTTGAATGGTTTGATATTAAGACAGTCTTGTACATGTGTGCTACCTGTTTTTAATATGTTAGTTTAGCATGATTATTGATTTTTGAATGCATTCTTAAATCCCTAGGTTTTTATACGACCGCAAAAAAATTTTGTGGTCGTATATTGGTATGACGTTGGCGTCGTCGTCGTCGTCTGGCGTCGTCGTCGTCGTCCGGCGTCGTCGTCCGAATACATATTGGTTTTCGCACTCTAACTTTAGTTTAAGTGAATGGATCTTTTTGAAATTTGACCATAAGGTAAAATACCACAAAAGGAAGGTTGGGATTGATTTTGGGGGTTATGGTACCAACAGTTAAGGAATTAGGGGCCAAAAAGGGTCCAAAAATGAGCATTTTCTAGTTTCCAGACAATAACTGTGGAACGGTGTATGGATCTCTCTGAAATTATACTACAAGTTTCCATACCACAAAGGGATGGTTAGGATTTGCTTTGGGGGGTTATGGCTCAAACCGTTTAGGAATTAGGGGCAATAAAGGGGGAAAACCAAGGTTGTCCTGGTTAATGGACAAATACTTTAGTACAAAACATAATTTAAAGCAGTGTAAGGGAGATAAATCAAATACATCATTGAAATTATCTCCCTTACACTGCTTTTAAATTATGTATAAAGTAATGGTTAATGAACAATAAAGATAATCTAAAACAGTGTAAGGGAGGTAATCCAAATACAACGTTTTGGTTACTTCCCTTACACTGCTTTTAAATTATGTTTAAAGAAATGCATATTTATAAAGGAAGACCAGTAAAAATATCTGCAAATGTTTTCATCTTTTTTTTTTACAAAAAAATCCATATGAAAGATTTGACACTATATTTTTATTAATTCTATTATAAAATAGATTAAGTTAGTACTATGGTAAATTTAAATGGGTAATTATGGTTGCCAACTCCATTGGAAATTTGAATTGAGATTATGACCATATCTTGAGGGAAAGAATTTTTTTGGGGGAAAAAGGGGGAGGGGGATAAAAAGAAATTGTGGGGGGCCAATTTTTTCTCATTTCAGATTTCAGAAATTAAAAAGAATTATTCTTCAAATATTATTTTTTTTTCAAATTTCAAATATTGAAAAATTTCAAGAAGTAATCTTTAATTGCACAGTATGGCGCATTAGATTTGTAAAATCTTTGATCACATTTATTTATTTGTTATGCCGAATCTAACAGTGTATTTAGATTTTTAATTTTGGGTCCAGTTTTCAAATTGGTCTACATTAATGTCCAAAGGGTCCAAAATTAAACTTTGTTTGATTTTAGCAAAAATTGAATATATGAGGTTCTTTGATATGCTGAATCTAAACATGTATTTAGATTTTTGATTTTTGGCCCAGTTTTCAAGTTGGTCCAAATTGGGGTCCAAAATTAAACTTTGTTTGATTTCAACAAAAATTGAATATATGGGGTTCTTTGATATGCTGAATCTAACCATGTATTTAGATTTTTTATTTGTGGACCCTGTTATCTAATTGGTTCATATTGAGGCCAAAGGGTCCAAAATTAAACTTTGTTTGATTTCATCTAAAATTGAATTATTGGGGTTCTTTGATATTCCAAATCTAACCGTGTATTTAGGTTTTTAATTTTGGGTCCTGTTTTTAAGTCTCCCAAACGAAGTTTGGGAAGACTTATTGTTTTTGCTCAGTTCTTATTATTATTATTCTTCTTCTTCTTCTTCTTCTTCCGCCGCTTTTAAATTTGAACTTGTCCGCACCCGTTCTCCAAAACCGCTTGTCAGATTAACTTAGGGTTTCACAATATGTTAGACTAACATGTCTAGTGGTGCAATCAGGGTTTTGTTTGTGCAATGGGGTTTATAAAGGGGTACTTTGAGGGGCAAAAAGAAAAGAGGGTTTTACTATAGAACCCTATGGGATTTTATTTTTTTAAATTTTCAAATGATTATAAATTGAAAACCGTTTGTGATAGACACAATCTTTTTAATTGAAAATGTTCTAAATGATAAAGCCCATTAAATGAAATACAGGGTTAGTCCCCAGGGGTCACCCCCACCCCCTGCCATTTAAGAAAGTTCTAATACCTTGTAAGTGGTCAAGATCCCATCCCCTAAACCATATATATTTTGGTTTGTTATGCTAAGATGGTTTGAATGATATACAGGGTTAGTCCCCAGGGGTCACCCCGACCCCCTGCCATTTGAGAAAGTTCTAATATCTTGTAAATGGTCGAGATCCCCACCCCTAAACCATATATATTCTGGTTTGTCATGACAAAGCACATCAAATGAAATACAGGGTTAGTCCCCAGGGGTCACCCCCACCCCCTGCCATTTAAGAAAGTTCTAATATCTTCTAAGTGGTCAAGATCCCCACCCCTAAACCATATATATTCTGGTTTGTCATGATAAAGCACATCATATGAAATACAGGGTTAGTCCCCAGGGGTCACCCCCACCCCCTGCCATTTAAGAAAGTTCTAATATCTTGTAAGTGGTCAAGATCCCCACCCCTAAACCATATATATTCTGGTTTGTCATGATAAAGCACTTCAAATGAAATACAGGGTTAGTCCCCAGGGGTCACCCCCACCCCCTACCATTTAAGAAAGTTCTAATATCTTCTAAGTGGTCAAGATCCCCACCCCTAAACCATATATATTCTAGTTTGTCATGCTAAGATGGTTTGAATGATATACAGGGTTAGTCCCCAGGGGTCATCCCGACCCCCTGCCATTTGAGAAAATTCTAATATCTTGTAAATGGTCGAGATCCCCACCCCTAAACCATATATATTCTGGTTTGTCATGATAAAGCACATCAAATGAAATACAGGATTAGTCCCCAGGGGTCACCCCCACCCCCTGCCATTTGAGAAAGTTCTAATATCTTGTAAGTGGTCAAGATCCCCACCCCTAAACCATATATATTCCTATTTGTCATGTCTCGAACATTTGAATGACGTATACGGTCAGTCCCCAGGGGTTCCTCCCCACCCCCAATGTTCTAGTATCTTGTAAATGGTTGAGATCCCCACCCCTAAACCATATATATTCCTGTTCGTCATGTAATGAACATTTGAATGACATATAGGGCCAGTCCCCAGGGGTTCCTCCCCACCCCCAATGGTTTAGTATCTTGTAAATGGTCGAGATCCCCACCCCTAAACCATATATATTCTGGTTTGTCATGCCAAGATGATTTGAATGATATACAAGGTTAGTCCCCAGGCATCACTAATGCATATAACTTTACTGGACCAAACCAATTTTCACTGGAAGTTGCCCAATGTCAGGCGACCCTGGGAATTACGAATTATGGGAGCTTCGTTTGGGAGACTTCGTAACAGCATCCTGTTACATTCATTTCTTGTTTAAATTGGTCTACATTGAGGTCCAAAGGGTCCAAAATTAAACTTAGTTTGATTTTGACAAAAATTGAATTCTTGGGGTTCTTTGATTTGCTGAATCTAAACATGTGTTTAGATTTTTGATTATGGGCCCAGTTTTCAAGTTGGTCCAAGATAGGGTCCAGTATTTAAACTTTGTTTGATTTTAACAAAAATTGAATATATGGGGTTCTTTGATATGCTGAATCTAAACATGTATTTAGATTTTTGATTATGGGCCCAGTTTTCAAGTTGGTCCAAATTGGGGTCCAAAATTAAACTTTGTTTGATTTCAACAAAAATTGAATATATGAGGTTCTTTGATATGCTGAATCTAACCATGTATTTAGATTTTTTATTTGTAGGCCCCGCTATCAAATTGGTTCATATTGAGGTCAAAAGGGTCCAAAATTAAACTTTGTTTGATTTCATCGAAAATTGAATTATTGGGGTTCTTTGATATGCCAAATCTAACCGTATTTTTAATTTGGGTCCCGTTTTTTAAATTGGTCTTCATTGAGGTCCAAAGGGTCCAAAATTAAACTTAGTTTGATTTTAACAAAAATTGAATTCTTGGGGTTCTTTGATATGCTGAATCTAAACATGTGTTTAGATTTTTGATTATGGGCCCAGTTTTCAAGTTGGTCCAAGTTGGGGTCCAAAATTAAACTTTTTTTGATTTCAACAAAAATTGGATATATGGGGTTCTTTGATATGCTGAATCTAACCATGAATTTAGATTTTTTATTTGTGGGCCCCGCTATCAAATTGCTTCATATTGAGGTCAAAAGGGTCCAAAATTAAACTTTGTTTGATTTCATCAAAAATTGAATTATTGGGGTTCTTTGATATTCCAAATCTAACCGTGTATTTAGATTTTTAATTTTAAGTCCCGTTTTTTAAATTGGTCTACATTAAGGTCCAAAGGGTCCAAAATTAAACTTAGTTTGATTTTAGCAAAAATTGAATTCTTGGGGTTCTTTGATATGCTGAATCTAAACATGTGTTTAGATTTTTGATTATGGGCCCAGTTTTCAAGTTTGTCCAAGTTGGGGTCCAAAATTAAACTTTGTTTGATTTTAACAAAAATTGAATATATGGGGTTCTTTGATATGCTGAATCTAACCATGTATTTTGATTTTGGACATTGGACCATAATAGGTAAATTAAAAAAATTCAAGTTCTTAGACCACATTCTTTCTGTGTCAGAAACCTATGCTGTGTCAAATATTTAATAACAATCCAAATTTAGAGCTGTATCAAGCTTGAATGTTGTGTCCATACTTGCCCCAACTGTTCAGGGTTCGACCTCTGCGGTCGTATCAAGCTGCGCCCCAGCGAAGCATTTTATTAGAAAAATGAATGACTTGGAATAGGACAAAAATGTGATATACATATTTTATATAAAATTACTGTAAACCAACCTATTTTTGCAAGCGATTTATTTATGCCACTTTCATACATTTGTCACAAGTTGAAATATAATACAATTATTAATATTACAAATGACTTGAAAATGAGATAAAAATTACAAAAATGAAATGCAGGAAAATGTGAAAATAAAAAAATATCTGGGAAAATAAGTTGGTTTACATTAAAAAGCTGAAAGCATTAGATAACTTGGTAGAACATTTATACCAGATACTATTTGGTTTGTATAATCATATAGGAAAAGAACCCCAAAGTATATATGCATAAATATAAGAAAGGGTATGTTACCATAAACAATATTAAAAAAAATCTCAACTGATCATTTAGGTAATTTGATTCAAAAGATTTTTTATGGTGAAATGCAGTATTGATTTGAAATAAGAGTTCTGGTACACACCAAAATTCATATTGTTTTTTTTTTGTGAGCCATTCTTTTCTGTTTTTCAACTGTATCAACTCTATTTATGGACATTGAATAAAGCTAGAAATAGAAATACTGAGATACACGTCATTTACTATAAACAGCTGCACATGTTTTAGTTGTCTTTATTATTGCTAGTCATTGGTACAGCCAGGTTATTTCTTTTCATAAACTGTCCAGAATAATTGAAAAAAAAGGTCTTATAGCACTCAAGAATAATTCAGAAAAATACCATTTTTTATTTCCATATCTAAATTTTAAAACTGTAGATTCACATTAACAATTTTATTCATGTGCAAAATGAGAAGAAGAAAAAAACTACGATAAAATGAAAAGTGTTATTTAAAGTTCCACTGGAGATATTCTTCCACAATGTGTACAGAAATGACATTAATCTCCAATTATTATCAATTGCAAAATTTTTTTAAGAAATTTGATTTTTAATTTTGATATAAAAGATTTTAAAATCTAATTATAAATTTTATCTAAAACGCAAAAAATCAAAACAGACAACTTTATGTAGTTGTTTTCTATATTCACTCCTTTGTAAAATGATTATCAAGTCAGTATGTGTCATGAATAATTTTGTAAAATGATTATCAAAACATTATGTGTCATGAATAATTTTGTAAAATGATTATCAAAACAGTATGTGTCATGCATAATTTTGTAAAATGGTTATCAAAATAGTATGTGTCATGAATATTTTTGCAGATTAAAAAGGCATAGTTATGCTAAATAAATTCCATACTTTAACTTTTGGAAACAAGACAAGAAAATTTTATAGGTTGTTACTGAAAATTAAAAAAGTGTCCAGTTTCAAATTCAGGATCTACACAATGATTTTGCAAGTGCAGTATCATGAAGCAGAGAAAATAAAATACTATTGAAAAATTTATTATTTGCAGGTATAAACAAGGAAGACAAGAGATCTGAAGAAGAGAAATTGAGGGAAAAACTGTTACAAATACTTGAATCAGCTTATCCTAATGTGTTGGAGGTAGAGGATTTGATCAGGTGACAATTTAGTCCATTTGTGTCTCACCATTACAAAGTAGAAAAAGCATGACTTTAACTGTGGTGTTTTTGGCTGCGGCATCAACAATGTATTAAGTTTGTGATTAGGTCAGTCTAGGGGATCCACTAGTGGAAGGTCAATTATATTTGGTATGCAGTTGTATTAGCATTGGCACATTTCACTCCAAGGAGATTATTGGCCCCTGCATCCTCAGTCTATTGACTTTGAAACTTTTGATTAGTTTAAATGTTAAAAAATTCTTATTAGGTAAGTTTAAGGGGAACCACTAGTGGTACAGCAATCATATTTGGTATTAAGTGGTATCAGCATTAGCTCATCTCATATCCATGATAAAATTTGGTCAGCCCCCTCAGTCATACTCTATTGACTTTCAGACTTTTGCTAAGTTTAAATGTTAGTTTGTGATTAGGTCTGTTTAAGGGAAATCAGTAGTCAGTGGTAGGTCTTTGATAGTTGGTATGCAGTTGTATTAGCTTTTGCTTATATTACTTCTATGGAGATTATTTGGCCCCACACCCTAATTTTTGCACAGTTTACATATTAAAGTTTTTGATAAGGTAAGTTTTAGATAAATTGTCAATAGTAAGTCAATGATAATTGGTATGGAGTTGTATTTATATTTGCATATTTCCTTTCCATGAATAATAATATGGCCCTGCCACCTCTTCCTGGTTCATTTACTTTCAAATTTTTGCATAGTTAAAGTATTGCCATTTTAATTTCAACATTTGCATTATATTATTATAATTACACAAAGGCTTAGATATTATAAATATATATAAAAAAAATAAGACATTTTCTTTTTCTTAAGGATAGTTTGGCACATGGTTTGTTGCAATTATTCCTTTGATAAGTTTACTTCAAACATCATGCATGTTTAGAGGTCATGTCTTTCAACTTTGTAAAACTGGAAAAAATAAAATAAATCTTCTATAGTAAACAAAAGCTGATGCTGATCGCCAATAGTATGTCCAAATAACTGAGTTAAGTGATTTAGTTAAGTATACCTTCACACACAGAGTGTTAACTGTAGAAATATCACTGTATATTATACTGCAGTGAAACATCCAAGCTGATCATGCAATTTGATTGGTTACCTTTGACAGGGGGTAGGAAGCCATATTCTCTGTGAGGGCTGTTCCATAAAAACATACATGGGACCCAGGTAAGGCACTTTGAAATTTCAACTATGGGTGGGTGTTTAAATTATTTTGAACGGTGAAAATGTAAAGAGAAATTCTAAATTGCCTTTATGGTTGGTTACCCGATTTTCAAAGTGCCTTCCCTAGTTACCGTGTATGTTTCAGTGGAACAGCCCTGAACAAAAACATGAAAAACAAAGAACAGAATGGCAATTAATGTTGAAATCATTACGCTCGAGTATAAATTGGTTGCTATTTAGGCATCACAGGAGAAATCCTTAATAATATATTAAAAAAACGCAAGGTCCTGACAGTTTACATGATTGTCAAAGAATTTTTAAAACTCAGTTCTTTTATTTAACACAGAATAACAAATGCTGATCCAGCTATGGTTACCCTACAGTTAGGAGAACTCAAGCAAAAAGAATTAATTGCTGAAATGGAAGATGGAAAGAAAGTTGTCAGACATGTATTACATGACGACAAAACAGGTTAGATTCCTTAAAAGTACACTGAGCATTATAATAAAACTCTGCCTAGAATGAGTCTTTTTTTTGGAGTTGGTTGTTATGTAAAACAAACCTGTTCGTTATGAAAAATCATCAGAGATAGTAATAAAATATAGATTCTAATGTGACATGCTTCTTTAGCTTTGTTAACAACAGTGCGATAAAATTTTCGATATATCTATACTTAGCGCAGACTCAGAGATGTACATATTAATAACTGTTACTATTTACCTCCAATGTAAATCCACATGTATCGTAGCCTATGTGCAAACACTATGTGGATTTTGTTGTGTTCAAATTGAAATTGAAAAAGAAACTACAGAACCGTTATTCCTATTCTAACGCATAACAAAAAGAATTAATGTATACGATCTTAAAAAATGTATAAAATCAAACTAAAATAAAATTCTGAGAAATTTCAAGAATGATTTTGCTGCATTAAAGTCATGTCTAAACGTGACGCCATATGAATGAAAACTCTTTAAGCTGAAGAATATTCGGTTATGTGTACGCTCTAAATTGGGATGTTATCGAGTTTAAATGGAGTTTTCAAGGTAGGTGTTGTTTGGTTTTCTATTCTATTGCATCATTCGCGCATTCATGAATTTCAGCAAGTCAACATATAAGCTCTCTCCTTTTGACAGTAAATAGTAGCCAACCCAAAAAAAAATGTTTGGGTTAAGAATTGAACATATTTTTTCTAGTGTTTATTTAAGAAATAATTCACGCAAGCATTTGAAATTTGTAGCTTTTATCTTCCAGGGGGTAAAATGGAACAGCCATAGAGACGGCAATCTTACCTCCGCTTCAGTTTTTCAAATAACCATATTTGTCCTATTGGAATCTAAATAATTCATGCAAGCCATAGATTTGTTATCATTCACATGGCCCACATGAAAATTTCTATGGATTGCATGAATTATTTCTTAAATGATGGTCACAAAATCTTACTTTTGCTTACTGTTACATATTTTTCCAAATTTTGTCATTATTGAATATAAAAATATCATTTGAACACCAAATATCTGTGAATATGAATATAATATTTCAAAGATCTAACAGTTTTTACTGTGAACATACTTGTCAATTATCATTTACACCAAAATCACCTGATTTTGTTTTGTAATACCTCAAATTCTAAGTCAAATCATGCAATTAGAGCCTTAACATAAAATGGAAATGGGGAATGTGTCAAAGAGACAACAACCCAACCAAAGAGCAGAAAATACCTCCTTTTACAAGAAAGAGAAAATATTTTTTACATAATTACATTATTAGAATTTGTTTTATATTTATGACAAAGTTGATTCTGAATTATGTTGAAGTTTAGCATTTAATCACCACTCGATAGTCACTGATGCTTTTACAGGAGGTTAATAGAAGGGTTACATGATGCAGAATGTCACTCACTGTAGATTTAATATTAGTTTTGAAAGATCAACAAAATTTGAATTTACAATGTTGTTAATTTGCACGGTGGTTTTGAAAGTTGTTTATATTGATATATTGTTTTCTGTTTTAGAGGTGCAACATGTAAAACAGATGCCAACCATAGCAGCCAATCAGCAGCCAACAATTGCCATAATTACAGCAAATTATTCGGAAAAACTTGCAGTAGATGCAATGATGGAACAGAAAACAACTTTTGTTAAATTTAAAACAGAAGGTACTTTATTTTTGTTTATTGGCAAATGATGCCTTACTTTTACAGTTCAAATAACAGTACTGGAAAATACACTTTGGAATTTATCTTAACTAAAAATGACAACTATGCAAGAAAATGATTTTGTTGGAAAACCATAGCATAAAAAGGATTAAAAACTCTGTTCTTCTTAAACCATGTGCATTTATCCTGAATGCAAGATTTTCTTTATTGGATGCCTCGTTTCTTTCGTGTCCAGGAATTTCATCATTGAGAATATCTTATACCTGTCAAAAAAAATATCAAAAACATTCTTAACATAAATTGTGACAATAGTGCATGAGTTTAGATGTTGTCACAATGAAACTGTATTACATTCAAAAAAGTTTATTATAACCTGAGCAAAAACAAAAAGTGTTTTTGTATTATTTGGGGGATGCTATTTAGGAATCACTGCATCTGTCCATATACCTTGTGAATACAACAAACAGGCTGGATGGATATCAATGAAAATTTACACAACACCGCTTGAGGATGTACATAAAGGAAAATAATTGTTGGCCTACAATTTAAAGGGAAGATAACCAAACTTACAAAATTACTTCAATATTGGAATATGGGGTTATAGTATTACAGGGAGTTAACCTTAGTATATCCACAGTTCTAGTTTCTTTCATTTATGAAGAAATATAATAAAATACTTATTTTGTATGTTAAATTGATTTTGAAGGATATTTCTTGTGCAGTTTTCATCCGTCAGCCAAACAATTTAAGGTTATAAGTTATTGTAATTTACTTTATTTAAGGTGAATCCAATGTATATACAATTGGGTATATTGGTGAACACAAGGTAGTGTCTACAAAATTACCTCAAATAGGTTACCATAGGGCAGCACAGATCTCATCAGGAAACACGACCACAAGGTTATTAGGTAAGTTACCATAGTACAGGATAGATCTATCAGAAAACACAACCACAAGGTTATTAGGTAAGTTACCATAGTACAGGATAGATCTATCAGAAAACACAGCCACAAGGTTATTAGGTAAGTTACCATAGGGCAGCACAGATCTCATCAGGAAACACGACCACAAGGTTATTAGGTAAGTTACCATAGTACGTATACAGGATAGATCTATCAGAAAACACAACCACAAGGTTATTAGGTAAGTTACTATAGGGCAGCACAGATCTCATCAGGAAACACAACCACAAGGTTATTAGGTAAGTTACCATAGTACAGAAAGATCTATCAGATACACAACCACAAGGTTATTAGGTAAGTTACCATAGTACAGGATAGATCTATCAGATACACAACCACAAGGTTATTAGGTAAGTTACCATAGTACAGGATAGATCTATCAGATACACAACCACAAGGTTATTAGATAAGTTACCATAGAACAGTATATATCTATACCAAGTAGAAACAAAATACTCATCAATATGCTACACCAGGAGGGTATAAGTCAGTTACCATGTGGCAGCACAAAATACTTAAGGAATTACCACAAGCAGGTAATCAAGAAATGACAATAGGGCAACACAGTGCTCGTATCACAAGGTCAAAAAGGGAATTAGAGGATGACAGCATACAACCATAGAGCAGCACATGTATCATCTCATTGGATAATACTTACACAATGTTATTAGATAGATTAACATAGGGCAACATGGATCTCATCTAATCAGGAAATAGTTATACAATGTTAATAAATAATTTACATAGAGCAGCAAGTATCTCAATTCAACATGATGTTAGTATGTAAATTACCAAAGGTCAGCACAGGTATCCTCTCATCAGGAAATACTTACACAATGGTAATATATAAATTAGCATAAAGTTCATGATTTCAGCAGGAAATACCAATGCAAGTTTATTTGATAAGATACTGTAATGTACCAATGTATATTAAGGACATGTGAAATGTGTTATAAAGTTTATGAAAGGAGAATTTAAAATACTCTGGTATATTCTTTCCATCTTCATTTGCACTAATTAGCTAAAATATTTTTTTTAGGATCATTCCAAAATATAGAGCATGTGTTTGTAGTGGGAGTTTCTGGAGGTGTTCCCCATTATACAGATTATTACAAACATGTTCGTCTTGGTGATATTGTTATGTCACAGTGTAATGACAAAGGATATGTGTACTATCACTGTGACAAAATATTAAAAGATAAAGAAGATAACTTGGCGTATAAACTTCGTACATTTGCTCCTAGAGATTTCACTCTTCAAAATGTTGTTGAAAAACTGCGAGATAGGGCTCAGAGAAAACCAGATAAGGCACCTTGGGAAAAATATATTTACGAAGGTTTAGATCTTCTACGTAATCAGGAGGCAGATTTTAATAGACCACCAAAAGAAAGCGATAGGTTATACATGAACATTGGAGAAGACGATTTGATAGAGGTACAACATCCCTTAAAACCAGAAGATGGAGAGAGCATTAGAGAAGGCGTTCCCAATGTTCATTACGGTGTTATTGGTTCTGGAAGACCAGTCACCAAATATGATTCCACTAGACTTGACTTTGCTCATAAATATAACATCACCTGTTTTGATGCAGAGTTTGATCAAGTCTTAGAATCCATTGTTGGTAATAGGAAGGATAGTTTCCTGTTCATCAGAGGCATAGCAGATTACAGCGATGGAACAAGAAACAAAGAATGGCAACCATATGCCTCACTCGTGGCAGCAGCGATGATGAAAACTATTATCAGATTAATTAGCAACCCATACCTTAGTGAAGATGAAGACTAATTTACCAGACAAGAATTTCTCATTCTTCACTTTGTGTCAATATAAGACATGCTTTTTGCTTTCTAAAAGTGCTCACCTTTATCAATCATTTTGTTAGCTTCAAAGTGCAATAACATTTATTTGTGTTTTCGTTTGATGTGAAATGCAGCATAAAAAGAACTAAATTTGTTTTTTTTGATGATTTATCTTCTAAATCATTTTTTACTTTCTTATATTTTGTTCCTGGAAATGAAATGCATTGTGTTTTTGTTGCAAACTATATGAGAGCATGAAACCAGAAACCTTACTTAAATGATATGCAAATATGTTTTCTGCTTTTATGTGTTTTCTTCGTCCTTTTTTTTTTACAAGAAAATGAAGCTTCAATTGGTGCAATTTTTGTTTCTGCCTTATTTTCATTCATTGGTGCAGGAAATTAGAATTTTCATAGATAACAGATATTGAAATTAAATTTGGTCTTGAAAGATGGTGTTCATTGATTTTTTTCTTTGTAAGATTTACTCATTAAAACCTCATATTATTTAAAGAAAACAACATTACGAGTTTGAACAGGTGTAGAGATATAATAGGACATCAAAAGTTCCTTAAAATAAAACAATTTACACCACTGCAATCACATTTTCATTTTTTATTTGTGATTTTTCATTTAAACATGTATAAAGTCCATTTAGTCAATAAATCTTTAGAAAATCAAAATATGTCTTTAATGTGCAGTGTCAGTAATAACATAGATTGAAAATTACACCATGTAAAAACATGTCGTTTAATCTGTATTGACTTCCCAGTAGTAATTTTGTGTATTCATATCATATAGTCTACTTGTTAAAAGATGCACTTGTTTAAAAAAAATTGAAGTTTTATTTGTGAAACAGTTTGTATCTTATATCTTTTTATTATAGACTGAAGTTGTATGGGGTTTTTTTGAGAGAGAATATATGTTTAAGGATTATTGATGAATTCTCAGTTTTTTTTAAATTTTTTTTATCATATTGTACTTACAAGTTTTTGAGGAGCCAGTTTTTTTTCCCAACTCAGGATGTTAACTAAATTATATAGAGCTAGTCAGGTCATTGGTATCTTCATTGGCATAAACTCTCATCATCAAGAAAAAGTGTATACAAATTACTTATTTAATGTTATAAAAATTGTGTGTTTCAATGACTGATTTACAAACTTGAAGTGTTGATATAATATCTCTATAAGACAGGTGGTTTGTTTTCTTACAAATTTGATCAGCATCCAATCTGGTAATTTTGTAAGCACCCAGAAAGGAGGGAGGGAGGGCCTTTACAGTGAAAAAGTAAGTTATTGATGTTAATGAGCATAATTTATAGATATGAAATTTACTATTACTGTTTTTGATACTGAAGATTAAAATTTAACAAAAGTTGTTTGTTTTTAAAAGTGAATAGTTAATACAATTATTAGATTTGTGAAATGAAATTGTTGTTGATTGTTGTCAACGCTATTTATAAAGCAAATATACAAACTTTCATTACTGTAAATTAGAATCTCTCTGTGTGATAGAAATTAATCATGAATGCTAAATGATGTAGCACAGATTCTTGGTTTTGCTCTCATATAAAGTAGATTAATTTGATTTTAGTTTGGCACATGCATAGATTAAATGTAGCTTTCCTGAAATATACATATATATGACAAAAAAGAGCTTTTATTTAAAATTGATTATTAAAAAGAAAATTATTGTGTTATACATTTATTTGTTTCGTTTGCATTTTTTGTTACATTATAAATTAAATTGAATTGTATATTTTATTTTTTGAGAAGTCTACTTATTTAATAGAAGAAAAAAATCAGGATGTAAAAATGTTCAGTTTTGTTGAAATTTTATTTCAGTATCATTAAATATTTAGTTAAATATAAATTCGAAGTAAATTTTATATTAAATTAAACTATAAGTTTGGCTTAAAGATGTTGATTTGCCTAGTTAAGTTTACCAAGCATAAAAATTCTATAATCCTAGTTGTGATGTATATAGTTTTGTTATATTTGTTTATACATTTATCATTCCACATTTTATCACAATATTTATATATATTAACAAAGTAGGTTAGTGATGTCTAGTGATTTTATATATTTACATATTTATTTAGGCATTTAAAGGCAGATTAGTTGTTTTTCGTTAATTGAAAGTTGCAGCCATTTGATGAAATAATCTTTTGATATTTTTGCTAGTATGTTTTTTTGAAAGAAATATTTCTGACTCATTTTTTCAGAAATTATTGTTTGAAATATCTATTAGTTTTTTTCTTTTGACAAAAAGTAAAAATTACATGTATAATGAGTTCACTTTATTTTGAACCAAAATAGAAAACAAATATTTGCATTCTCATTGCTTTTTATAATCAAAAGAACAAGAAATGCAATTTTTATTTTTATAAATATTGAACTCTTCCCCTCTTAGTCCACCTTATTATACCAGTTTATTTAGGGCAAGTATTTTTATAGAAGTGTCGGCATCACAGATCATATCATTGCGTCTCTGTGGTTATTTTTGTTCTATCTAGAAAAAACAAATTTAAAGATTAAAAAAATATTATTCCATACTACATTTGTTTTAGTACAATTTGAAACAAAGCTTCAAACAAGTCATAAACTCTTGTAACTTGACAATCTTTGGTAATACCATTCCAGTGATAAATACTTTATGAGAACAGTGTTTTATTTTATTTTGTAAAAGACAAAAGATTCAAAGTTTTATCAAAATTTTGTATGTGAAATTGTGACGTTTAAGGGTCTTCAAGTAAAATATCTTGTTTATTCAAGAATGTATTATTAAATTAAAGATGATAAGAATTTTCATAGTTAAGATAACTGTTTTGTGAATACATCTAACATATATTTGTTTGTTATACCTGCCATTGTCATTTACACTTTTTAATATGATTATTTCTAATTTATTATTGGCTGTTGTGAAGGCAAACAATTATTTGAATGTCTGTTGTGGACAATTTTAATCAAATTTTGATATTTTTCAGGGTTGTTTAAGGGAAGTTGTATATTGTTTATATATTAATTGTTTGATATACAGTTTATATGAAAGCATAATTATAGAAGTCTTATTTTTTAGCTCACCTGGCCTAAAAGGCCAAGTGAGCTTTTCTCATCACTTGGCGTCTGTGGTTGTCCTTTGTCGTCGTCCGTCGTCGTTGACTTTTACAAAAATCTTCTCCTGAAACTACTTGACCAAATTTAACCAAACTTGGCCACAATCATCATTGGGGTATCTAGTTTAAAAAATGTGTCCAATGACCCGGCCCGCCAACCAAGATGGCCGCCATCGCTTAAAATAGAACATAGGGGTAAAATGTAGATTTTGGCATATATCTCTGAAACCAAAGCATTTAGAGCAAATCTGACGGGGTAATAAGATCTACAAATAAGTCAACATGACCAAAATGTTCAATTGACCCCCTTAAGGAGTTATTGCCCTTTATAGTGTTATAATGTGTCCAACCAACATGGCTAAAAATAGTACGTAGGAGTAAAATGCAAGTTTTGTCTATTATTTTTTGAACCGTTGTAAATAAAGAAAATCTGAAAGGAGCAAAAATGTTCAGAAAAATGAGCTCTACCAATTGTCCATATATGTCAAAACTGTTAAACAAATTCTTATAGTTTATTGCCCATAAATGACAAATTTTACTATTTTTTTCAATTTTGCCTATTATCATGAAAACTATGATATTTAGAGAGAAACATTTTTTTTCCGTTATGCCTTTAATGATTTAAATTGTAATAGATAAATAAACACTTTAAATCACAAAAAATGATCAGCAAGGCAAGATCTATTAAAAAGTCAAATTTTGCCGATATAGTTAGTAGACTGTCACTCTTCATAGGAGTGATTGACCTTAAATGAGGATTTTTTTAACCCTCTTTTTGAGCAAAAACTAAAGAAGATAGAGACTAAACAGACTAAAAGATCAGTAATACAAGATCAACAAAATAGAGATTTTTGTCATGAAGTCTATTCTCTTCTACAATGTTGGAGAGTGTCCTTTGTTTGATATGCACATAGACCAAGGTGAGTGACACAGGCTCTTTAGAGCCTCTAGTTTTATTTGTGGTTGTATTGTTGAAATTAAAGGTATTAGAAAGTCTCATGCCATTATTTTTTCATGAAACAGTCTTTTTTAGACAAAATGTAATGATCTTACTAAAAATTCTGAAGTATTAGAATTGGAAGCAATTTATTTTTTTCTCAACAAAAAAAACCAGCTCATTGTTTCAAAATTCCAACAGTATTTATATAATTAAGACTTTCTATGGCCTCAGTTGTTTTGCTTTATCTATAAACCTCCAATAAATTATCTAATGTTTGACATATACTATTATAGATGATTGGCATTGTTTTAACCTTGAAAATTTGCAGTTAAATGTTTCATTATAACAAAAAGTGTCAAACTGTCTGATGCAATATTTTGATAGAATATTTTGCCAGGTGACTTTTGGAGTATGCTGATTATGATATTTGGAGGCATTTCAATAATACCAGAAAGTATACAGTTGAAAAGATTCTTACAAATTTTTTCCAAATGTTTTTAGTTGTTATTTGATAATGAAATAAATCTGCTATATATCTTAGTTCAAAGTTTTTGTCATATTTTTTGAAAGGCAGGATACAGGGTACATTTACTTGAGACTATATCAAACTTAAAATGCTTTTTATGCCCCAGCTGAAGCGGAGGGGGCATTAAGTTTTACCCTTGTCTGTCTGTCCGTACCTACATCTGTACGTCCCAAAATTGGTTTCCGTTCTCTAACTTAAGTTTGCCTCGACCAAATGTTATGAAACTTATACACAGTGCTTATTACCACAAAACACAGATCAAGTTTGAATTTTGGTGGCGTCACTTTTACTGTTCTAGAGTTATGCCCCTTTACAAATGGAAAAATTGCTAAATGGAAAAATTGCTAAATTTTTCATTTTTATGCCCCCGCCGTAGCGGTGGGGGCATTAAGTTTTACCCTTGTCTGTCTGTACGTACGTACGTCCCAAAATTGGTTTCCGTTCTCTAACTTGAGTTTGCCCCCAACCAAATGTTATGAAATTTATATACAATGCTTATTTCCACTAAACACAGATCAAGTTTGAATTTAATGGCGTCACTTTAACCGTTTTAGAGTTATGCCCCTTTATAAATGGAAAAATTGCCAAATTTTTAGTTTCCGTTCTCTAACTTAAGTTTGCCTCAACCAAATGTTATGAAACTTATACACAATGCTTATTACCACAAAACACAGATCAAGTTTGAATTTTGGTGGCATCACTTTAACCGTTCTAGAGTTATGCCCCTTTATAAATGGAAAATTTGCAAAATTTTTATTTTCTTCTAAATATCAAGTAATTTTTAAAATTGGAGTTATCTTCCTTTGTCCATGATTATAGTTGAATCAACTACAATCAATGCTTTATACAATGCAATGTTTAATTTTGACTTCCACTGATAAAAGTTGAATTTGGGTAGTGTCACTTTAACCATTATTGAGTTATGCCCCTTTATAAATCGAAAGATTGCAAAATTTTTAGTTTCCATTCTGTAACTTAAATTTGCCCCAACCAAACATTATAAAACCTATACACATTATTCATTACCACAAAACTAAGATCAAGTACAAATTTTTTGTTTCCGTTTTTCTAACTTTATTTTGCCCCAACCAAATGTTATGAAACTTATACACAATGCTTATTCCTACATAATACAGATTAAGTACGAAATTTGGTGGCGACACTTTTACCATTCTTGAGTTATGTCCCTTTATAAACATAAAAATTGCTGAATTTTGGTTTCAGTTCTCTAACTTTAGTTTGTCTCAACCAAATGTTATAAAACTTATACACAACCGTTATAGAGTTATGCGTGTTTACAAATTGAAAAATTGCTGAATTTTTAGTTTCTGTTCTCTACTTAATTTAGCCTCAACCAAATGTTACGAGACTTACACACAATACTTATTACCACAAAACTCAGATCAAGTTCAAATTTGGGTAGCGTCACTTTTATCGTTCTTCAGTTATATCCCTTTAATAACTATATGATATGCAAGCGGGGGCATCATCTGTGTCCACATGTGCACACTATCCACATTTATTTTTCTAAAAATATCAATGATGTCATTGTTCAAGTAATTTTTAAAATTGGAGTTATCTTCCTTTGTCCATGATTATAGTTGAATCAACTACAATCAATGCTTTATACAATGCAATGTTTAATTTTGCCTTCCACTGATAAAACACAGATCAAGTTGAATTTGGGTAGTGTCACTTTAAACATTATTGAGTTATGGTCCTTTATAAATTGAAAAATTTCAAAATTTTTAGTTTCCGTTCTGTAACTTAAGTTTGCCCCAACCAAACATGAAACCTATACACAATACTTATTACCACAAAACTAAGATCAAGTACAAATTTGGGTACCGTCACTTTTATTGTTCTTGAGTTATGTCCCTTTATAATGTTGTATGCAATTGGTGGTATCATCTGTGTCCATGGGGACACATTCTCCATTTATTTTAGTTCTCAATTGATTTCATTTTCCACCTCAAAATTATTTTAAAAAATCCACTGTTGAGGTTGTCCTTCAAGTGTGATCATTCAAACTGACATGTGATATGGAACAACTTTTGTACAAGACACATGCATTCAAAATAAGAATCCTCTCTCTATTTTGTAAGAATTGTGACTTTGGTTTGAAAGGGTGATGTTGGTTTTCTCATTTGCCTTCTGAACTTGGAAACATGTACATTTAAAATCAATTGATTTTTTTCCAAGGTAAAAATTTATAATATAATTCAAAATTTGCATGAAATAAATATCATTCTTAATTTCCTGTATATGAAATCCAAGGAATTTATATTCTTAGAGACCAGTTTCCATTCAAACAGATGATGTAGACAACCTGCAGCTGAGGATCATGTAATACTCGAAGACAATCAAAGCAATAGTTTTTTGTCTGGCTTACAATGAATTTCAAGAAATTTGATTCTTACTGAAGGTAATCTGGTGGCAGCAGAGTAAGATTTTTCCATAAAGCTTCATTTAACAGAAGCAAGAAGACTTGGATAACCATATGTTATATTCAAAAGTCTTGTAGGATCTGGGATCTGCCAGTTGTCCATAGCCTCTTTTTCAATAAATACGATTTTAGTAAAGGTCAATATATTTGGCATTTAGAATTAATGCAAGGTTTACATGTCTGTCAGACTAATTTGGCTTGACGGTGACCACATTTCGTGATTCATTGACAAAACTTGAGTATTATGTGCTTTAGATACTTTAAAAAGAGGGTGAAGATACCAGGGGGCAATCAAAAGCCATAAGTCAAAGAAAAACTTAATACCATGGCCAATAACAATGACCAACAAGATTGAGCAATACAACCTAATTAAGAACAAGGTAAACTCAGATGACCTAGAAGGGCCAGTAGCTTCTGCTCAACTTGTGACACTCTAATGGGTAAACTTTATTTGGTATTAAGGAATTGTAAGGTGCGCACATTTCTTTGACTGTACTATTTTGACCTTTACCTCATTGTCAATGGTTGAGTAGTCAGCATTTAGTCTTTCATGAATAGGTTAGTTTCATAGCTTTTACAAATGATAGGTGAACTATATTAAAACGATAGATCGACTGGTGTAGGTGTTTTGTGACAATGATTGTGAGGTGTTCACATCCATCTATAAAGGTTGATCAGACATTGACCTCATTTTAGGGCTTCCTTTTCTTGCATAGAATTATAGATGTACAGAAAAGAAAACGGAACAGGAAGAAGCCTTTTGAGGTTTAGTTCAAAGGTCACTGTTGGTAAAACTTGATAAATTATGGAAAAAAAAGGTTTCCTTTAGTTGATTGGAAGATACTGGGGATGGATAAAGCTTATATGGTTAATAGGTCAAAGGTCAGTGTCACTTAAAATAGATTTGTTTATGGAAAATGATTTTTACTAAAACAATGTGTAGTTCCAGCTTTCTACTGGTTTTTAAAGAGTAACTGAGTTCATGTTCGTCTGATGGGCTTCATCTGACTTGACATCATTTTTACTATTCAGTGGCAATCATTTAGCAGTTACCTTATGTATAAGGTAAACTATATAGGATGTCAAGAATGATTGTTAGGTGTACATGTACATAGAGGACAGGATTCATCTTTTTTTTTACCTCATTTTCATAGTTTAGTTGTAACTTTTCCGTCATTCAGTCAGTTTCACAGATCCTATAAGTAAAAGGCAAATTATGGTGTTTAGAATCATTGTATGTTGAAAATGTCTTATGAGATGGGTCATTTGACTGTGACTTCAATTTCATCGCTCAGTAATAATGTTAAGTATTGTGGTAAAAACAGCCGATTATACGGTATTGGTTTTTCTCATTGTTTTGAGGCCGTACGGTTGCTTATAATTGCTTACATCCACTTCATTTGAACTTAGGGGGGATAGTTGTCTAATTGGCAATCATACAACATCTCCTCATTGTTATACTATAGATTTGAAGTTAAAATTTTATACAGTTTACCGTATTTGTTGTATAAAATGACTAATGTGTACATGTTCATCTGACCATGACATCACTTACATGTAATATTAATGGTTTAAACTTTTGAAAAAGACTTCAACATAACTTTTTAATAAATCAGGCGATACACTCGGGAATGTTTAGTTTACTCGAAATGCCATTTGACAGTCCGTGGATATAACTAAAACAGACCTAAAGTTCACACTTGAGCGACTTAAAAAGAAATCAGTATCTATCTACACGCTTGGCCTGTAAGTTGACCCTTAATAACGCAAACAGTGCATTTAGGGACATATATTTAAGTCACCACTGACCATTTTAACATGGCATATTAGCTTCTGTTATATATTTAGTTTAATTTTAAGTTCACATTTTGGATATAATATTACTTTAATGTAATGTAATTTTAAATCATTTTCATGCTCCACTGATGTAAGTTCAAGTATATATACACCCAAGTTGGTATATATTAGATAAATTATATTACATAGATATAGGAAGATGTGGTATGAGTGCCAATGAGACAACTCTCCATCCAAGTTACAATTTATAAAAGTAAACCATGATAGGTCAAGGTACGGCCTTCAACACGGAGCATTGGCTCACACCGAACAGCAAGCTATAAAGGGCCCCCAAAAAAATTACTAGTGTAAAACCATTCAAACGGAAAAACCAACGGTCTAATTTATGTAAAAACGAGAAACGAGAAACACGTATGAACTACATAAACAGACGACAACTACTGTAAACAGATTCCTGACTTAGGACAGGTGCAAACATTTGCAGCGGGATTAAACGTTTTAATGGTACCAAACCTTCTCCCTTTTCTGAAACAATAGTACAACATCACAACAAAGAAAAACACACTATAAAATATCAATTGGAAGGCTTAACTCAATCAAAAAACGTAAATTAACACACAATGAACGAATAAATTTGACCTGTGACACCTGAATGCAAATACACAGCTAATAAAAAATTACAAGGGATAAATAATTAATGTCAAAAGTAAATGAACAGGTTGAAACAAAGTTAAAGTATGATATCACTGTGAAATTTCAAACAATTTTTAG